CCCCACGGCGGGAGGGAGGCTCCCGGGCACCTCCAGCCCGGCGTCTGCTGCGCCCCGGGCAGCGCTCGCGCGAGACGGGTCCGACCCCGCGCCCGAAGGACCCGAGGTCCCCAGCTGAAAAGCTGTGCCTGCGCTCTCACCGAAACACTGGCCCCGGGCGGCTTCTCCGAATGGCAGAAATAGCAGAGAGGGAACCCAGCTAGCAAAGCTGCCGCTGCTGGGCCGTCAGTGCTTTAGCGTGACAGAGATGATTTAAAGGCCAAGCTTAAAAGGATATTGGACACTAAAAAGGAAGCGTCATACAGATTGTGTCTGAGAATACTTCCACTTTTACTTTTCCGAGGCAGTAGATAATCTTTTTGGCAGCAGCAATTGCCTCCCCTGCAAGAACTCTGCCATTACACCGTCACTCCGGCTCACTTACGGCTTTCGAGCAAAGCCAAACACTATCGCGTTTTACTTTCCACATGCGCCTGTGCTGGGAAAAGAGCTTCCTTCGTCGGCCCCAGCCCTGGCCGTCCCGCAGCCTGCGCGAGGCTGTCGACTGCTCGTAGGCGCTGCTGGGCAGACGCGCTGATGGAAAGCCACGCATGCACCTTATCTTCTCGGGGAGCAAGGCAGAAGGATGCTCTTGAACTGGAAAGAGCGTGCCCCCGGCTAGCTATCCTTGACCATCCAGGCTAGCATCACTGAAATGGCTCAACTGCTAACATTTTACTAGGGAGACACGGCCTAAGCAAAGGGCTTCTGCATTTGCAGAATGCATTTTCAGTCTCCCGGAATAGATATTTATACGGTCAACCTAATAACGGCACTGCCTGGTAAACAAAATAACGCGCGTGGCCCACGCTGCCCCATTTGGCTGCGACTGCTCTGAAGGAGTCATCTGAGGCTCAGGAGGAAATGTCCATTTTACAACATGCAATCCATTTTTTTTAAACCCTTTTTAGATATCCTTGTTCCTGCCTTACAAGCAACCTCAATGAAAGGAGAGTATATCAAGCAGCACTGGGGACTGTCAAGAAGTTGAGAAGATGCAGAAATTCTAGGGAAACACGGGGGTTTGCCCAATGTTTTCTTTGACTTTTTTTTTTTTTTAAACCCTTTTTAGATATCCTTGTTCCTGCCTTACAAGCAACCTCAATGAAAGGAGAGTATATCAAGCAGCACTGGGGACTGTCAAGAAGTTGAGAAGATGCAGAAATTCTAGGGAAACACGGGGGTTTGCTGCTCAGCCCCCCAGGACCTGCAGTGCGGCAGGATTTGTCATACCGGCGCGCTGGGAGAGGGAGCTGGCTGCCTGCAGGCTGCTCAGCCACAAAGCAGGCGTCACCCCAGGAGCCCTCTTTCAGTGGTAAATGACTGCTCTGGGGGCCCAGCTGCCTGCTCAGGCCGGCTCAACCTCGCTGGGGTGCCAGGAGCCGCTCTGCTCACAGGACACCAAATTCAGAAGGACACTTCTGTGCGATTTCAGCAGGTGTTGCATCAAGCCAACCCGCAGGGGAATTGCTACCTCTCTTTCTGTTGGGATTTTAGCAAACACTGTCTTTGACCGTAGCACAGCACCTGCCACAGTGGCAAGCACTGCAGAAAGGAAATGAAATTTAGACTGTACTTGTCGGCTAAGGGAGGGACAGCGGGTGCTACTTTTAAATTCCCAGACGTCTAGTGCTTTGTGTCCCAGCTGTGGTACCACTGAGCAGGATCTAGATCTTTAACTAATTCATCTTCTAATTTCCCATCATGGGCAGGATCCTCATCAGTTCCCCATATTCAAAATGCAGGTACAAATGCTGAACGTATAAACTTGCCCTGAGTGGTATTTTACCTGAATCCATCTTTGCATGCAGTACATTTATCTGGTTCGCCGACACATTTTTTACAGCTTTGATGACATTTAAGACAGCGTTTCTGACCTTTCAAAAAACAAAGAGAGTCGTTGAGAATAAAATCTGGACAGTGATTAGCAAGCAGCAGCCACAGTGCAAAGTCACTTGCAGTGCTGCAACCTAGCACGGTTTTAGCGGTGGTTAGTTGGGCAGGAGACACATGTCCTCCACCCACCCGTACGAGCCCCTGCTAGTGCAGATGACCTCCAAGTGCCTGTTCAGATAACACGAATATTCAAAAGTCGATAGAGCGAATGTTTGTGTGATTAAAGCAGGCTGGCTCGGACTGTCAACATGCTTCAAAAAGATGTTTCTTTTCCCAGGTAGCAGGTTAGCCCCTTGCTTCTCAAAGGCAACGAACCCAGGAGCAGCACTAACGTGGGCGAGATTTTACCCTTCAGGAGGGCTCCATCCAGCTTTCATTAAAGCCAAAAGGAGCCTTTAGTGGGAGCCGGATCAAGCCCTTGAACCTCATATGGGCAAAACACCTTTGAATTCTACCCTGTTGCTTCCGGAGGTGCACCCGACAGAGGTATGGGGGGGAAAGCAGCGCTTCTGTTCCTGCCCACAGCTGGCTATGTTGAAGCCCACTTTTGTAATAATCTGAGCAGACAACTGTTCTGCATTTACTGCCTGCAGCCACAGAAAAGCATGAGGACGAAAGGAGGTGCAGGAGGGGAGAAACCATGCTTCTCCTCTCGATACAAAAGGCGTCCACTTCGTACAGTGCTGAAATGCCTTCCTGAATCTCCTCTCTGCACTTTAGGTAGCATGTGGGGTTTGTGTCCCATGGCTGCAGGATGATCTATAGCAAAATACCTTATCTGGCTATTGCTGGCATTACCTGCTAAGAAGAAATGCATTTACAGGCAGCAATGGTGATTAATAACATCTTCCTCTGACTAATAGATGTTGGCTAGCTGTGAATGCCTCTGTTTTATACCACCCTCCACACACTGAGAGTTTTTTTTCCTCCACCACATGCAGGTCTGGGGGTATTTCTAAGCCAGAACCCAGAAATGGAGGTGTTTTTTCCATCCACATCACTTAAATAGAAGTAAATCCTGCATATCCTCATGCAACAGTTTACAAGCGCTAAATGTCCTTACGTTCCTCAGAGTAAAATCCAGGCGGGCACAGCACCACGCACGTGTTCATTTCCTGGTGATGGTAGAGGCTCCGCTTGCAAGCTGTGCACTGGTTCGGGCCCCTCCCGAGGCAGCTCTCACATCCCTTATAGCACCTCCGGCACCTTCTTGCACCTTTGTCACCAAAAAACCCCGACGGGCACGAGCTCACGCACATCCTGCGGGAAGGAACCGAGAGAACGGTAGGAGCCCCCTGCGCTCGGTCAGGCGAGCAATGACCTGCAACCTGGGGAAACGGGGGGAGACGGGTGCCGAGCAAAGAGAGGCAGCACAGGGTGTTTTATGCTGCACGTAGGTCCTGACAAAGCTCCCGCGTGTCTGCCTGTCTGTCTTGCACCCAGCTGTCCTGCTCGCTGGGAGGGACCGCAGGCAGCGCTTGGCTTGTACAGCCCCAGGCGTGGGGAAGGAGGGTGGTTGGGGCATGGGGCAGAGCTCATTTCCAAAACGTACAGCATATTCTCAGCTCGTTAGGTCTGGCGTTTAGTCACCCATGCTTGATATTTATTGAAAATAAATCTTGTTTATGCAAATATCTCTAACCTCCCCTGGCTGACAGCAGCAGGGCTGTGCTCACCGCACAAGAGTTATCCCAGGGGCCAGGTTCCCCCCCACACCCCGTCTCATCACTTACAGAATTAGCACGTCATTCAGAAAGTCTTCCAGCCTTAACAGCAATTTTGTCTTGTTTACTTCTTATTTACTTATTACTCCTTGTTTATTTCTTAACATTTAAGTTGTCTTGAATTTGTGGCTCTGTAATAAATAGCAGGGGACTCAACCCTCTGGCCAGCTGCACGCTACTACCACCTGCTTCAGCAAGACTACAGGTACTTTCCCCATGACAGCCGAAGAGATTTAGGACCTTAAAGCTGCACTTCAGAAGTCATTTGGCACCTCAGCAATCTGCCCCTTGGGCTCCTGAGCCCATGGGTGACTCCTGACAGTGAAGCCAATGCTCCTGGGAACATTTTTCCCCAAACGACTTAGCTCCTAAGGTTCTCCAGAGATCCCTAGCTCTATTTTCCCCATACCATCATATCCCATTTTATGGCAGAAATCCCCCTACCTTCTTCTATCTCTTCCCTCTGTTTTCTGTCTCATACACTCTTGTCTTCTCCACTGAAACATCTGAAACCCACATTGTTGCATGACGCCTGGTGAAAGGTGCTGCTCAAGACCATGGGGAGCGAGGGCAGCAGGACTCGAGGCCTCTGCTCTGCGTGTGCATCTCAGCACCCCGCCAGCACGTGGCTGCGGCACGTGTGCCCCTCGCGCCAGTGCTAGCCCGTGGGGACCGCACTGAGAGCCGCCCACTAGCCTTGCACAGCCTCTAGCTTTAACTTGCTGTGACTGCTCCTGCGCACCCGTTGCATGGGGTCAGCTTTTATTTGAGCAGCATGCCCTGGACCTGCGGCACACAGAGGAATAACACGATGGAGACCATCACCTGCCGGTTTTCATGCTCCCAAGGCTGTAGTGGATGCAGTTCAAGCACTGGTCCGCGTTGGGACCGTCGCATCCCTGGTCGCCGCACTCGGGATGGCACGGACCTTCAAGAGAGGAGAGATTTCAGCTGAACGAGCTCTTCCAACCCTTTCCGGTTTGTGCCTTGGTACAAAGGGCCGTTTTAGTGCCTCTGGCTCAAAAGGGAGAGG